ATGTGTCCAACAGGTTGATAAGAAGGTTTGCTTTGATTTGTGCAGTCAGTAATTTGAGACACTATACATGTGTAAAAAGAATTCAATAAGACGGGCAGACATGACTGCAAAAATTTGTATTTCAAAAGCAATAATTGTTTTTCTAAGTATAATAAAAGGAAATGTGCCTTCCAAAAAAAACATTCAATATCATTAATGTGTTGTATAAAGAAAATAAAAAGGACATAAGCAAATATAAATATCACAAATATGTGTTATAGACAAAGAAAGTTTGTAAAATGAACTTCAACTGTCAGAAGGACAGCTCATGAAGAACCAATCATGTACAGAAAGGAATGTTCAAATTCAGAGGAACAGTTCAGAAGAAATGTTAATAATAAATATTGAGAAGATTGGATCAGTTGTGTTCCTTTTTTGGAATACTTGAATACTATTTTTTTGTGGAATACTTGATGCGGCCCAGCCTGACCCCGACTCTACCTACAGCGGCCCCCAGTTAAGTTGAGTTTGAGACCCCTGCTCTAACCTTTCTACTGATCCCAGAGAAAGAGACAAACGGCCTTGTGGGTTACGTGGCCTTCGTGTCCTGCGTGTACTACGTGCAATCTCAAAGTAAGATTGGGATGCACCTAAAAGAAACTGGTTACTTGCATCCATGCATTTAAGAAAATATAATTTCACAAGCACAAGAATATAAAAATTATTATGTGATAATGAATATATTTGATTATTGATTTTTATAAAGGAAGTATATAACCATTCAAAATGACATATGATTATATATGTATTTGAAGAGGCAAGGGATTTTGACCAACCCTTCACCGCTCACAAGCGCTCACGCTCACTAATAACCGCCTCGCCAAGGGCACTGCCTGCGCATCACAGTGCGATCACAAAACGCTCCCCATCAAAAGCGATCGGGGCGTCACATATAAATGTAAGTCCTGTGTCCGCTCACGAGCGCTCACGCTTACTAATAAACACTCTGGCCAAAGCGCCAGCCCCACGTCACAGAGCTTTCACAAAATGTTCCCCATCAAAGGCGATCGGGGCGTTGCATACGAATGTAAGTCTTGTGCCCACTCCCAAGCGTGCTCGCTTACTAATGAACGCTTCGCCCAGGGCGCCGCTCGCGCATCACAAATTGATCAAAGAACGCTCCCCATTCCCAGCAATCGGGACGTCACACATGAAACAGCATGCCACCGCTGTCAGTGAGCTGCCGTATCCAAGCACCGAGGGCGCACGCGCCGTGCTCGTACCTCCGGTTCAGTTTCTCGGTCCCACCCAGTGTGGCGATCAGAACCCAGAGGCCATTCAACCCCTATCTATACATATAAAAGCATGGGAAGCTATCCCAGGGGTATCAGAATGGGTGCTGAGCACAATAAGACAGGGCTATTTGCTACAGTTCGATCGCCGTCCCCCGCACTTTCAAGCGCGCGCCGCGACGACAGTGAATGTCGAAGTAGCACATCTACTCTACGCAGAAATAGCGAAGCTCTTGTGCAAAGGGGCCATAGAACTGGTACCGCCTTCTCTGAGCGAGTCAGGCTTCTACAGCCGTTATTTTCTCGTACCCAAGAAGGATGGAGCCCTCAGACCTATTTTAGATCTGAGACATTTGAACAAAGTGCTTGTTTAAAATGCTTACAACCAGGAAAATCCTCGTGCATGGTCGCCCGAAGGACTGGTTTATTTCTCTCGATCTGAAAGATGCCTATTTTCAGATTCAGATAATACCCCGTCACAGGCCATTCTTGAGATTCGCCTTCGACGGTCAGGTATATCAATACACCGTCCTCCCGTTCGGCCTGTCATTGGCACCTCGCACATTCAAGTGCAAAGTGGCCCTCGCGCCCTTGAGAAATCAGGGCATGCGAATTATGAACTATTTGGACGATTGGCTGATTCTGGCACAGTCAGAGACGGAACTGTTGTCTCACAGAACAGTGCTTCTCAGTCACCTGGAAAGCTTGGGTCTCTCGGTCAACTGGACCAAGAGCTCATTAACGCCCAGTCAGTCAGTTTCTTTTCTGGGAATAGAACTGGACTCTGTGGCCATGATGGCTCGTTTATCGACACAGCGCGCGTGCCGTGTTCGTCACCTAGCCGCTTCTTTCCAGAAAGGCAGCATCGTTTCCCTGAAGACATTTCAGAGGATGCTGCTGGGCTATATGGCCTCAGCCGCGGCAGTGCTAGAGCTGGGCTTACTGCGCATGCGCCCACTGCAACGCTGGCGTTTTTACAGGACCACCATGTTCTAGTCCGCTCAGACAACATGTCTGTAGTGTCTCTACGTGAACCGTCAGAGCGGGGTCAGATCCAGAAACCTCTGCGATCTGACGGAACGCCTCCTTGTTTGGTCTCAACATCATCTGCGCTCGCTGAGAGCTGCGCATGTGCCAGGCCACCTGAACGATGGCCCAGACAGACTGTCCAGGAACAATGTTCCCCCAGGGGAATGGTCCCTGCACCCCCAAACAGTCCAAACACTATGGCGCCTTTTCGGCAGAGCGGAGGTCGACCTCTTTGCGTCAGAAGACAACGCTCGCTGCCCAATGTTCTTTTCAAAGAACGAGGTAGCGCTGGCCCAAACCTGGCCCAGCCGCCCGTTGTATGCTTTCCCTCCGATTTCACTGTTGCCACAGGTAATCAAGAGAATCAGGGAAACGCGCCACTCTGTGCTCCTTATAGCCCTGCGTTGAAAGAATCAAATTTGGTTCCCGGAGCTGACGCATCTGTCACTTACAGCCCCGTGGCCTATTCCGGTGAGAACAGATCTCCTCTCTCAAGCTCGCGCCATGATCTGGCATCCCCATCCAGAGCGCTGGTCTCTGCACGCATGGTTGATCAACGGATACCCGTTGTCCTGCCAGACGGAGTGATGAACACGATTACGCAATCCAGAGCTCCCTCTTCTAGAAAGCTCTACGGGTCTAAATGGTCTGTGTTCTCCAAATGGTGCACCGACAGACGACAGAACCCACAGACATGTGGGGTTTCACAGGTGCTCGTCTTCCTTCAAGAGCTGTTGGACAAGGGCAGGTCCCCCTCCACGCTCAAAGTGTACGTGGCGGCCATCGCAGCGTTCACAGAGTCGACGCGTGGAAGAAACAAGCTGGTCATCCGTTTCCTAGAGGAGCTAGAAGGATGAACCCTCCGCGGCCCCCGTCGGTCCCTATCTGGGATCTTTCATTGGTCTTAGAGGCCCAGAAAACATATCCCTTTAAACCATTAGATTCTGTGGATCTGAAATACCTCTCGCGTGAACGCGTGAGCTCACTAGGGAATCACAATATGGCGGCGCGGTGGCTTCACTGTTTATGACGTCATGAGCTATCCAGTCATTATATAGATCAGTGGCTGGAACCTGCTTACGTCAGCTCTCACCGCTTACTTCACGAAGCACCGCAAACCTCCAATAGGAAAATTCAACTGCAGTAGCCACAATTCAACCTGAAGAGGGCAGCACTCAGACATTTTTACACCATATATTGTAGAATTAAAACACTTTATACCCATATTTCAAAAAAGTTACTCGAATCAATGATCAGCACTAATAAAGCCCCATTCTTACAGATCATTAACTAAAAAAAGTTGGTTTAGGGTTTAGTTACCCTTTAAGGATACTTTTTTGGCTTCAATATCTCGAAAAGATGAATCTTTCCCGTAGCGTAAGCTAACTTACGCAATACTCGTTCCCTCTTCTAGAGAGAACCGAGGTTACGTTAGTAACCGATACGTTTTTAAGACCTTAATGTTTCTGTGTTTGCTGGTTTCTATGGCAGCAGCCGTATGAGTGCATCAGGATGCATGAAGCATAGCTGGCTAAATAACCTGGAGGACAAAGCCAAGATGTACAAAGTTCGGCTCAAGTCACAAATGAGGCTTCAGCGTTACCTTGCTGCTCACCGTCAGTGGAAGGTATGGAATCATGAGTCAGCGCATTTTCGATTTTTAAATGGATTTATATGGTGTTCGCATACCAGCATAACACATGATCCTGCTCTTGTGTTAACTCTTTTTGTTTTTATAGAAACATTTCTATGCGGTCACTGCAGCAAACAGGTTGAAGAGGTTTCAGCAGAGCAGATCAGTTAGTGTGCCAAATTAGTTATTAACCTGGAGGACAGTGTCAGTAGCTTGAGAGGACATCACAATGTCACACACTGGAAAAGGAACATGTCTCAATTTGTTGAATGATTTGAAATGGCTTTGTAGAAAATGTTTAATATGCTCTTGCCTAGCCAGTGTAATAGTATCTTGTTAAAAAGTGTCTTTTTTATGTATCTTGTTTGAAACACTGTTGCATTTAATTTCCACTTCATCATGCTTTCACACCAGGAGTGTATGGCATGGATTGGTGTGCTTTTGAACCACATGAAAAAGCTGCTGTCCCTTCTGTGAAGGTGTTTTTCTTGGGCACTACTGCCTTATCCTAGTATTTGAAAGAAAGTGTTTTTGGTTCTCAACTCATGGTTTCAGTATCTTATATTAGAAAGAAAAAAAAACTTAGCATGAAGATTTGATGTAGGAACACTGTGGTCATCCTAAATGTTTTGTTTAGCACATTGATTAGATCTGAAAACTAAATCTAAATAAGAGACTCAACTGGCATGGCCTGTTTTTTATTTTTCAGAATTCTCATTTAAAACCTTTTCACTGGTTGTTCAAGAACATTTGAATGTTAATATTGTGACTTGAAACTGCTTTCTATGAATTTATTGCATTTGTACACATTTATATTATAGTAGCATAACCACAAATACATGCACAAAGGTGGTTCTGCTCTTGACATAGCAACTGACTAACAAGTGCACTGAAGTTAGCAAGGAATTATAGGGCAGTTCTGTTTTCTCTATCATAGGTCATAAAGTGTTCTTGTATAGAAATCATTGTATTGGGTATTTCTTAACAATATTGTGACAAATAGCCTCTGTAGAAAATGAGCGTTTAATCAAGACATTAAAAAACATGAGAAACCAAGAAAATTAAACTGTCTTGAATACACATTTTATTCACATCAAAATCAAACAAAGATGTGCCATGTATTATTGAAACAAATTGATAAATCACATCTAGAAGATCTTGAATGCATTATACACCTCCAATGAGATTTTAAGTTCAAACCAATACCACAGAACACTGAGAAATGAAGTCATATTGTCAGCATAATCATCCAAACCATGTCAGACTAAACAATACAATTTTACTCAAACTAAATGCATGAATGACAAATCCTGCCATTTGCAATATATTATCTAAATGAGGAACTTAACAATTGGCAAGTCTTTGCACAATATCTAAAATAGTAACTATCTTTGACCTGGTAAATAAAATAAAACAGTGATAAAAAGTGCTTCAATTCCTCTGGAAATGTCTGTTTGTGGATGAAACAATTCCACACAAGAAGCCAGAGGGGGGCAGGCAACTTCTCTTGGTAGAGTGTTAAATCCAACTCAAAAGTTCCTGTTGACATTATGCAGAGCCATAATTAAAATAAATGGGAAACTTAAAACCTTCAAGAATCTACAGCCTTTGCTTTTAATGCATTTTCAAGGATTTTTCTTTTCCACTCCTCATAAATTTGTGTTTCTTCCTCCTCTGTCTTTTCAACTCGCTCTTGCTTAGGAGATGTTGCAATCTTCCCATCTGGAAAAAAAAAAAAAAAACAGAAAGACAATTACATTTATCATCAAACATGACAGATATGTTCTGTCTATTATTAGATATTACATCTTATTATAAGAAAATTATTATAAGAAAATTATTTTCTGTCCAGGTTGAAGACATGCTTAAAGGGATACTCCACCGTTTTTTCATATTAAACTATGTTATTCCCTTAACTAAGACGAGTTGATACATACCTCTCTCGTCTCAGTGCGTGCACTCAATCGCTCTGACGCGCGGTGACACTTTGATAGCACAGTTCATTCAATACGTGCCAAGCAGAGAAGCGAGCAAACACCTCCACGTTTTCCCTATTTAAATACAGTTACACGAGTAGTGTAACTCGGCCAAGAATGGTGCCACAAAATAAAACGTTGCACTTTTCTAAGCGTGTAAAGTGGATAACTATAATGTATGGCGGTGCAAGTGCTTGGGAGCACTTCGACTCGGCGCAGTAATATCATCACTCGTGAAAAATCCTCTCCCTCTCCGGAGTGATGAAATTACTGTGCTGAGTCCATAGATATATATTTATGCGCCGAGTCGAAGTGCTCCCAAGCACTTGCTATGGTATTCCGCCATACATTATAGTTATCCACTTTACATGCTTAGAAAAGCGCAATGTTTTATTTTGTATCACCATTCTTGGTCGAGTTACACTACTCGTGTAACTGTATTTAAATAGGGAAAACGTGGAGGTGTTTGCTCGCTTCTCTGCTTGGCACGTATTGAATGAACTGGGCTAAGCTAAGTGCTATCAAAGTGTCACCGCGCGCCAGAGCGATTGAGTGCACGCACTGAGACGAGAGAGGTATGTATCAACTCGTCTTAGTTAAGGGAATAACAGTTTAATATGAAAAAGCGGTGGAGTATCCCTTTAAGAACAGAAAAGGTTACATTAATAATCATCCACTGCACATAATGGCAGCTGATGGGTAGAAATAATTAGCCATTATTAGTTATTGTGACAAGTAGGTGGATTTCTTACCATCTTCTGCTGTTTCTAGCATTTCAGCGAGAGAATTCTGCCTCTTTTGAGCAGTTTTGACTGGTTTCTCCACAGATGAAGCCTCTTCTAAGGGTAAAGAGATATTTTAGAGTGAGCCAGTATGCTTAATATCACAACTTCAATATGAACTTGAGAATAAAAAAACATGCTGATCTTTGATGTTCAACTACACAAAAAAGATACATTGTCTAATTGTGATATGCCTGTAGCCATGGTAATTTGAAAATGTCTGTTTCTTCATGACAAATCTCTTTAAAGTAATATTTTTCTTTTATAATAAAAAACAAGATTAAAAGTTGTGCACCTTCAATCACATCTTCGTTAAACATGAATGTCAGACCGAAACCTCCCACAAAAATGTCTTTGAGCATTTATTCGCTTTAATTAGGCAATGTGTCATTTTCTAAAAAGCTTTTGTTTGAAGGCGTCACACTTACTGCAGATCTCCTGTCCAAATTTCTGGAACTGTGTGCACAGCCGATCAAAGATGCCCTTCTTTGCTCCAGATGAAGAGGCTAATTTCCTGTCAGTTTTGATTTTCATGCACCTTCAAACAGGAAGGACAGAACCAATTTATTTTTCCATTTTCAATAATTAAATGAAAATCAGGTTAAGTTTAGATTTAGAGACTTCTGTGACTTGTTGACATGCATAAAATCCTTTTGACCCATCTGGGAGCTTGATTTTATTATTGTACAGTAACAGATTTTGGTTGGATAGCAATAACCCAACAGTCACACAGTCACAGTACAGCTGGATTCCTTATGTGAGCACTCACTTTCATAGAATCTAATATGCAGATAACCTAGCTCCAAGGACAAGGAACAAACATGTGATGGCCAATCCAAGATTTGACCTTTCCAAATGTAAATTCAGCTCCAAATTAATCCGTATGCAATTCATTTCTCATACCCTCATTTTAAAATACTATGGCCTCACTGTACTTTGACCACACTGTGAAGAGCTTAATCAGCTTTTCAAGAGACAGTTGAGCTCCCATCAATATTTATATCTAATGTGAGTATCAAACAGCTAGTATTTTTGAACTATCCATTACTTGACTTAGAGATGATGTGTAATTACAGCATATTTCAGGGCTTCAAAATACTCACTTGCATGCTGCATATAGAGCTGCTGTGGTAAAGAGAGACTTAGACAGGTCAAGGTCTTGTTGCTTAGCTGCGGGTAAACTGGTCTCATACCTTAAACAAATACATGTAGTTTAAATCAAGTCATTCAGAATCAATTCAAGCTGATTGCACTGATGCAATGTGAAGTCTCACCGTTCAAGGATCTGAGAGGCCACTTTAACTGCTTCCAAACACCCATACTGCACTGCAAGATCTCGGAGACCCAGGCTTGACTGCAGGCCCAGCATGCACTCCATAGACTTCAAATTGCTGGAGTAAACCTTAGGACTCAGGCCAGATAGTTTGATGGCATACTCCTATCCAGCAGAATATTGAAAGAACATTATTGTTGTACATTTATTGCAAGAAAAAAATGTTTACGTATATAACACATGTTAGATATGTACAGCATATTGTGTAAATCATTCAATGTTTATTGTGCAAAATTACTATCGATTTTTTAAAAATTACAGCTGTCTCAGTTTCCACGTCCCTAATATTTTTTTTTCAAAAGTTATACAGTGGATGAGCAATTCTTAATATTACATGAGCCGTGACGCATGAAGAAAACAAAATATTTCTAAATGATACAAAAAGTGTTTAAATATTATTTGTGTGCATTTAAGATTGAACAATTGTAGCAAAAATAGTCTTGTCAAGACAAAGGAATAGGCCAGTTAACAATAATTATAATTTTCATGCAGAAAGCTACTTTATTACACATGATTTGAGACGGAATGACACAAATGACACTGGTTGTAATTTTCATGACTTTCAGGGGGAAAGAGATAAAAAAGAGAGACAATTTTCCTATGATGCATACATGGCCACTATTGGACAGTGTTAGTAGATATTAAAGTGAATAGACAAATGTGTGAGAATGCGAAAAAAAAGTATATTGGACCTAATTATGCATATGCATATTAGATAACAATATACTTAAGTGTGAATGTATGCATGTCAGTACATGCATAACGTTGCATCATATGTGTATGCTTATGTTACACATCACAACACATAAAGGGAAAGGGATCTTGCCTTGTCTACAGGAAATTTCATTGAAGTCGCTGCCAACTCAAGGCAAATAATGGCCTTACTGGTGGCTGTCACAGAACCCAGTCCAACACATTTCACTTGGGATAATCGCATGTACTCTTCTGCTTGGCTGAAAATGAATCCGAATTAGTTCTGTTGTTATATTGACATGTTCACTTCTGACTGAACCAATGTCTTCCCAAAACAAGCGAGTGGCTAATATATTGCAACACTTACCTCAATACTTTAACAGATGTTATACCGATCTTCGAAGCAAGCTTACTAAACAACTCTTTATCCATTTGTAAAGTTGTTCGATCCTCTCAGCGCAACACAGCAGAATCCTTCACCAGACTTCGCAAAGAGACAGGCTGATTTCGCGGGAAAACAAACACGTGTCACACTAGAAATAAACGTTCTCACCGGCCATTGGTGGATCAAGAAAATGGGCGTGGAAAGCGTCGGTCGGGTAAAACGCTGATAAACTTTAACTAGTTTTAATTATTCGACAAATGATACCATATATGTCTAAAAGAAGTATACAAGATATTTTTTATATTAAATGCAACTTTAATGTTGTTCTGAGAAACGTTATCTTAACACGTTTCCTTCAGGTGTGTAATGAGACAACCCAGCTATTGATTTTATAGTAAATACATGTATTTTAATTCTTAATGTTATTTCCGCGGAGATTTAGAGATGAATAATACAGCTCTCTCAGGGCTTGTTGTGTTGTGTGCGGGCAGTGCTCGTCATCATGAGGCGGAACAGCAGGAACAGCAGTCACATGACACGACACATTCACAGGGGGGTCATCCAGTGTTTCCTCTAACATATCTGATAATCATGGTAAGATATTAGGATCATCGTATGCATAGACTGTCTGCTGGATTCTTTGTATGCTCTATTATGTTGTTTATAGCTGTCATAGTGTCAGAGAGGCACTGAGATCTCTTGATTGGCTGTTTTGCGTCTGTGAAGATAGCCGTTAGCATTAGCGTTTGAGATGCGGAGGCCTACATACACCTAATAATTATTCTCGTTTATTTCTTCTGTCTTGTTTTATTCTGCCAGCGATTTAACATTCGCCCTGCAGTTGTAGTGAACTTGCAGCCATCATGTTTGGCTGTCATTACAATCCACAGGTTTTCTACAAAATAGGCTAATTTGAACTGCTAATCCACTAGCATTAGCATTGTTACTTCATTAGTTATTTTATATAGGCTTTTTTATTTATTTATTGTAATCGGATTTCTAAGATACGTTTATATGCAGCTTTTTTTTTTCTTGCATGCGCATTACATATATTTGAATAATAGCAATGGTTTTAGTGTGCACAACATGAGCTTCAGTTTATGCTGTTTGGTCACGGGTTCATTCATTCAGTTCAAACCAGATCATAATATCTTATGCTTACTGTTAATCATAACTCTTTTAAAATTGCTATTCATGTCAAGTGTACGTGTCTGTTACTGTCACTAACGATAGGTCGTTTGGGCTTAAATGAAATGGAGAGGTGGCCGTAGATTGTCATCCCAGCCCGCAGGCCACTGACACTCCAATTATGTAGTTATTTATGCACTGATAATCTCATTTACAGACATTTATTAGACACATCAACAGATTAATATAGCGTCACTGTTTCAATTCTTGAAGTTATACAGTTACTTTCTGAACTTTTATTAGCAAAAATGTGCCATATGACAATTGAGCTGTATTAGGCATGCCATTAAAACAGTAACAGCAATGTTCTGCTATATAATTATATTGTTACAATTCACATATTTCATTTACAATTATGCACTTTTTTGTGACAGTTTTTTTTTTACAATTTCTAGAATATTTGTACCGTTAAAAATACATTTGTCATGCCGCAGGACAAATTAATTGAAATATACAAGGCTAGAATCACCTAAAATCACCTGCTACAGCACTTAAAATTAAACTTTAGAACAATATGTATATGTGTGAGTGAAAGTGTTCTTTATACATGTATACTTGCACTACTGTTCAAAAGTTGTGGGACAGTAAGATTTGTTTCAGCATTCAACAAAGACACATTAAATTGATCAAAAGTGACATTGAAGAACGACATGCATAATGTTACAAAAGAATTCTATTTCAATTAAATGCTGTTTTGAACTTTCTATCCTTCAAAGAATCTTGAAAAAAAAATGATCACGGATTCCACAAAAATATTAAGCAGCACAGCTGTTTTCAACATTGATAATAATAAGAAATGTTGGTCACACTTTATATGAAGTGTCTTGAACTGCTATGTAACACTTGATACAATGATCTCATTGTGTACATGTTTCAAAATCGTGCTTAAATAAAAAATAAAATAAAAACTACATTTTTGCTGTAAAAATGTGCTGTGCACCTATTAAAGTTATTAATCAGATATCCAAGGTGTTTGTAGAGACATACAAATGTTGCTAAAATTTTGACATTGGAAAAAAACTCGCCAAAACCTTTTTAAAAATAATTTAAAGGTTGGAGACATCACATCCTAGTTTGATTGTTTGACTGCACCTGTTTATTCCAGCCGACCACACAGCAGTCGCCCCAGGATGAGCAGGAGAAGCTGTTGGATGAAGCTGTGCAGGCAGTCAAGGTTCAGTCATTTCAAATGAAGCGCTGTCTGGTGAGTAAAGTACATGCAAGTTTACAACATGCGGCTAACCTGCATCCCAAGGCCATAGCAGTGTGATGTCTCTTGATTTGAACAAATTGGAAAATAAAACATTAAGGTGTTTCTCATGGCAGTGTGAAAGCTTCGCCCTTAATCTCTGTTTATGAGCATTTATATTCCTTCATCCAGGACAAGAACAAGCTGATGGATGCACTGAAACATGCCTCAAATATGTTGGGGGAGTTGAGGACTTCTATGCTTTCTCCCAAGAGCTACTACGAACTCTGTATGTTTTTTCATTGCATTATGTTCTTAATTCGAACAGAACACATTTGCACCCTTGAGTTTAACAGTAAGAATTTTCTTGAGTGTTAAAGAACGGTGTTCTGTATTGTAATTTCTTTTTAACAGCTGCCAAAGACTATATGTTGTTATCTATCAATGTTTCATTTGATTTCTGTGCTTGTAGACATGGCCATCTCAGATGAGCTGCATTACCTGGAGGTCTATTTGACAGATGAGTTCGCCAAAGGCCGCAAGGTGGCTGACCTCTATGAGCTTGTTCAATATGCAGGGAACATCATCCCTAGACTGTGAGTATATTAGTAAATCTCCCTAGTTAGTGTAACTGTAAAACATTTTCAAGATTTTGCCATTTTTGTCACATTGTAACAATGTAACTATAAAATAAAATTGCCAATAGAGCAATCTGAATCCATTTGGTGATCTTATTGAGATCAAGAAATTATTAAGAATTGAATGAGTACACTTTGTCATGAGGGACCGGCTGTTCAATATGTGCCGCTCATTCTATTTTCTCCCGCAGATTCTCCCTTGTTCTATCTTTCCCACACCCGCTCCTTTTTAGCTTGCCCAATTTTACCACCAGCTGTTTATCAGTGCCTTCACTTGTTGAGTTAGTAGCAAGTCAATACTTAATCTAACATCTTAACTCCCTTCATTCGTCCTATTATGCAGCGTCAATTTTCATTAACAGTGAACATGCCCTGGGCAACATTTGTGTTCTTTCTTAATAGCACAGAAAGCTTAAAGATTAGATTTGCATGGGATGCTGATTAATTCAATGTAAAGGAAGGGACAATTACTCATAATATTATAGTATTATAATATTTTAGTCTCCATTATAACACATTTCCAAAAGCTACTCAAATTTACTGAAAAGTTTAAACTGAGGACAGACTGTAAATGAATGAGTGAATGGTGTGTTCTAAACCTTTGATATTTTTGGTAATGACGAGTGCAGTTAATTATGTAATAAATGTTCATGAGTGTGTAAATATTGTATTGCATGATCTTGCCGTGTGCATATAGACTGAGTGGTCCTGTAGTTTAAAGACTCCCAAGTGGGATTGCTTACATTGCACCTGCCTCTTGTGTTGTAAGACATCATGTAATTGGGTAAACCCATTAATGATGCACTCAGCTCAGTCTTAGATTTAATCTAGTTTTAAAAAATAGGATTTAGTGTTGATGAAGAGACTGAAATTTCTAACTTTGATACAATACCTTGAAAAATATAGATATTTGATACTATTTTAGAAAGATAACTTAATTTACTTTTGATCAGTCTTTTCTTATAAATATATATTTTTAATCAATTGAATCTCTGTTGTCTGAGATTCCTTAGGCTCTGAGGTGGATTATATAATATTAATAATAAATTACTAATATGTTATTATAATTATTATTTCTAAGACAAAAATGGATTACTATTGTCTAATTGGACTACTAATACAACTGCACTGGAGCAGTAAATTTAGCCTTGTGAATTAGTATTGGTTGAATGTATGTGGATGGGAGAGAGATGCGACTGAGAGCACAGTTGGAAAGATGCTTGATTTTTGCAGAGCTCCTTCATTGACTGTTTATCTTTAATGAGGAAGTATGTGCTGAAACAGATTGGTGGAGTGCATCTGTTTGAAGAAAAAACAGAAACCTTTAGAGAAAGGCCTATTTTAAACCACATAGACAAACAATGCTTAAGCAAAAGCAACCAGTGTTCATTTTGACAGTAAATTTTGATTTAGTTTTGGCATCTGAATTGTTTTAGTCTAGTTTTAGTCGACTACATATCTTACGATTTTATTAGATTAAATCTAGATTAGATTTAGTCAACTAAAATCTATCAGTCAGTAAATAGGAAACAAAACAAATAAACACAATATAACAGAAATACCTGCTTTAAGCTTAAATTAAGGTTAAGCTTAAATCAAATGTGAATTTTTAAAAAAATGTTTTATAAGACATGCAGCAAGTGTATGCTATTAACCCACCGGGTAGATCAGTATGTTGCATTCATATATGCGCACCTAACCTCTATGGAAGTAAAATAATCCCAAATGTTTTTGAAACAAAAAGCCTGTTGAATTGTACTACTTGAAAAAAATATGCATTGCATTAACCCTGCTTGTATTTTAATGCATTGTATTTTTAGGGCTTGTATTTTTATAGGCTGAAATTTAGCATGGTTGAATATTTAAGCTGTGAATATTTCAAATCAAAACATTTCAAACACATTTTCATTAGTAAAATTTCAATAATCCATATTCACCTTTCATATTTCATTTCCCAAATATTCAAACTGATTAAAAATACAACCTATAATATTCAACAGGCGGTTTACGGTCCATTTTTTTTCGCTTTGCAAATTCGCTTCCACAAATTCAGTGGTTCAAATTCGACAGTAAATTCAACGTTGACATCCAGGAGCTGCAGGAAAAGCAGTAGATTACCGAGCATAATCTC